CAGAGCATTTATTATTTCAAGCTGCAGAGTGAAGTTATCTGCCTTTCACTGCCAGAAACATGAATATATCTGAACTTGTGGCCTCTTACCATGCATGCTTGTGTCATCCAAACTACATCAAATGTCTCTGAAATGTGTTAGAGTTTGTGTAAAACTTGGTTTGCTTTGTTTCATTATTTCCTAAGACTAATATTTCCAGGAGTTTTCCAAGCTGGTTCACAGCTGACACCCAGCTAGCAATGACTCTGCATCCTTCAGAATGGCTGCGGTTCTTGTGTACTTTAAAAGAAACGTAGGCCATTCAGTTAAGATTGACTTGAAAGACAAAAATTACTGTCTTCGGAAGAGACTTTAATTTTTTGCTATGTAATATGATCTGTTCTGTTAGCTTTTTGAAATGAAGCCCTTGAACCTTTTATGGGAAGTAGCACAAAAAAGTTTGAGCTGGAGTCAAGATGGAGAAAGATTCTTTCCTGTAAAAATTTTAAAAATATTTTGCAAAGGTTTGGTTTTCCTAGGAGAAAATGCATAGAGGGTAAAATTAAACGTAAACATCAGCAAGCCTGGAAAATACAGTTTATCTCTGAGATTAATTTCTTGATTAAGAAAGTTGCTTACACTGTTGTTCTCCTGTTGCATGCAACATTATTTCTACTGTAACAGTCTCCAGAGATTCCAGTCAAAGTCATAGCCCTTTGTGGGTTTTCCACAAATATTAGTCCCTTGCTCTTAAATGTTAATAATAACTTTATTTTCATAAAGAGTATTCAAAACTGTCAAAGCACTTAATAGTTAAATCTCATAAGTCATCTCTGGATGAACTATGTAAACCAAATTATAAAACAAGCCAGTAACTGATGTGGAGAAGGTCTTGTGCATGTCTGACACTGTGTTGTTTCCTGCAACCAGACAATCATGCAAATCTTGAATGGTTTAGTATCAGTCTGTTGGGGTATGCACTCCTAAACAATCAATGCGTTTTCTTTATTCTTTTTACAATATGTCAGCTCTTTACTGAGAAACTGCATACAACAGGAAAACTAAGGTGTACAGCCTGAAACGTAATACAGAAAATATTATAGGAAAAGTTCCTCCAGCTCCTGCCAGGAGAGTCAATATCTCCGGTTGTACTCTTCAGGCTTTCCCTCTTACTACTTTACCTGTTTTACTTTCCTACTTTTACTTTCCTACTTTGCCTTCACCTCTTCCCCTTCCTCTGGGTTTTCGTTCCACTTCACTTTCCAAGTAATGTTTGTGTTGAAACGTTACATGTGCGTCCTGCCATGCTCACCAATTTCTTGTGTCCCACTAAAAAAGAATTGCCAAATCTTTTGTGCACAGCTGTATTATTTTTCCTAATGGCTAGAATATTTCTGAATGATTGGTGAACAAACCTTAAAGCAAAAGTTCCTAAAGGTCACCAGGATTTGATAACATGTTAAGCATTCACTAAATATTGGACTTTTTCTTATTAATTATAGGTTAATCCCTTTCTCAAATAAATAGCATGTCTGTACTAATTGCTGCTTTTTTCATTTACAGATGCAGAGCCACGGTATTTGGTTTCAGTAAGACCAGCACGCATTTCAAATAACAAGAAATCTTGTTCAGGTATTTTACCATTATTGTATCTCTTAAGGTAGTTAAAGGAAAACAAAATCTTTTACTGGATTTCTCTGAAAAGATATTTCTAACTGTAGGTGTCTGACTGGGATGCACAAATGCCGTATGTGGGAAGGTAAAGTGTAGGACAGTATTTCCTAGCCAGTTATTAGTCACATGTGCGATGTTCAAAACATGAACTACCTAAAGGTTGTTCTTACAAATGAGAATTGAAATTTAGAATACTAATTTCTGATATTTTAAGGAGGTCACAAATGCATGCCAAAAAAGGAACAGTTTTTTAATACAATGATCGGCTGTATTGAAGTAATTCTTCCCAAACTACCACTAAGGATTCCTTCATCCATGGACGTGTTAATGCTCTTTATTTCTCATTGGAATTGGAAAATGGTAATGTGTATGTGTATGTGTATATAAATATACATCTAGCTGTAAATCAGTACTACTACTAAGTTTACTGATGCAAGGAGTTGAGGAAAGAGGGATGTTTCTAATTTAAACAATACATAGCAGAGCAGAAATCTGAATTTGGTTCTCATTTGTTACAAAGACTTTTGATATGACCTTAATCATGTCATTAATATTGCCAGTTTTAATTCCCTACTTCAGTATGAAGATGACTCGGGATCACTGGACTGTTGCAAAGAATAAACATAAGCTATATATATATTTTCATAGTTTGAGACAAACTTTTTAGCAGGGCCTGTTGGGATAAGACAAGGGGTAATAGTTTTAGACTAAGAGAGGGTAGATTTAGAATAGACATAAGGAAGAAATTTTTTACAATGAGGGTGGTGAAGCACTGGAACAGGCTGCCCAGAGGGGTGGTAGGTGACCCATATCTGGAAACATTCAAGGCCAGGTTGGATGGGGCTCTGAGCAACCTGATCTAGTTGAAGATGTCCCTGCTCATTGCAGGGGGATTGGACTAGATGACCTTTAAGGTCCCTTCCAACCCAAGCTATTCTATTATTCTCTATATGATTTTTTTTTTCCTAGTTCCTGGTAACTACTTGGGATTAATTTCTTCTTGTTCTTGGCCTTGTAAAACAGTTTGGAAAGATTTTGAAAAATTATTTACTTTTCAGATGCAATACGTGTGTGTGGTTTTATATATATACATAAAAATAAAATGCCCAGTGCATTATTTGGACATTATTAATTTTTCTGTCTATGGAAACTGATTTCTGGAACAAGATTCAGATAATTCGCTTTTCAGTCCAGCAGACAAAGGTATAAGAACATCTGTTGGTTTAATGCTATCTAGATACACGGCACGTCTTTTTAGTAGTGAGAATAATTCAACTGGACAAATTACCAAGAATTGTAGTAGAGGCTGAGTTGCTGTAATTTTAAATTTGTGAATGAAGACTGGTTACATTTCTAGAAGAGACACTGTAGTTCAGACTGCAATTAATACAGAGTTGTATGGTTTGTATTTGTATAGATGAACAGAGACGATCATCAAGGTAATTCCTGGTTTTACAGTGTATAAAACATTGTAGTCACTAACTGAGAACTAATGGCATAATAAGAGTCATAATCAAAATCATATGTAGGTCTTTCCCAAAACCAGTATGATTGCAAGTTATATGAGAGCTTGTTTTTTCTTTTCCTTAAAACTCATATACTTTCTGTGTTTCCTCAAAAAGTGATCAAGAAAGGGGTTTTGCTACAGATAGTAGATTTGCCAGATAGTTTGGTGAATGACCGTGCTGTTTGTTTCAAGTTTTTCATTAAAAATGGAGAAAGAGTATAGGAACTGGACCAGAAAACAAGAAAATTATTCAGACATTTGCCCTTGTGGAAGTATCATATGTGCCACAGTATTTAAAAGCATGTCATGCTTCCTCTTAAGGGTAGAGAGTGATTTTGTTTGCTTGTGGGGCTTTTGTGGCCCCACATTCATCATCAATACAAAGGGAAAACCCACGTGGCTAATGTTTCTAAATGCACACACATGTGTTAGTTGGAAGTGCAAATCAGACTTTCACTGGGGCTTGTTAAGTGAAGAGATATTAGGATTTGAAAGGTATGAAAATAGAGTTAGTCAGATCTGTTTCATAACAGTGAAAAACAGAACACTTAAATCAGTGGCTTATAAACTTTTAGGGAATTTGTGGTCATCTGTACATTTTGAGGAGGTACAGATCCTTTAGATTTTTGAAGTGTGTCATGTGACGTAAAGAACATATGCATTTCCTTTGATTAATCATCATTCAAACACCAAAGCTTCTCCTTGGGCTTGTAGCAGTCCACAAACTACAGGTTCAAAATAGTTGCTGTAGATAACTTCTTTTCCAACTATTAGCTTCTAAACTTCATTTAGAGAAAGCTCTTTCTCCACATGAGAGTTGTGCTACTTCATTCAAAGCAAAGCTAGAGTTAAGTATTGTGCAAAAGCTGAACGTTTTCAGTGCAGTAAGTGATTAAAAGAGAAAAATGCCTCCAGATACAGACACCGACACAGGTCTGCCTCCATTTAAAAGCAAAAGAACTTTTGTACGTTTTGTTGTGCCCTTTATGAAGAATGCTGTAGAAAAGTATGAATTATCTGTGGACATAATTGCAATGTTACCAAGAATCCTGCCAAGAAATTTCTATTTCCGTCACATGCAAAGAGAGACTTTCTAATGTCCTGAAGTCTACGTATGTGATGCAGTCTGTGATGCAGTCCAAGATGGCCAGAGCTTTGAAGTTAATCTTTGTATAGCTTATTCTTATAATAAGCATACCCACCAACTGTTCATTTTGAAAAACTAGATTTAAGTGGAACATAGGCTGAAAAAAGATAAATAGTGAAAACTTATAATAAGACAAAATTGAAACAAAGTTTAGTAAACAAGTCTCCCTCTTACCACAAAATAATATCAAGAATACCTGGCTCTAGAAGTCTGGAAGTGAAGTCTTCCAGTTTCTTCCCAGGTTGAAATATATGCTGTGGAAGTCCAGAGGGGACCTAGACAACAGTCTTTTTGAGGCTTGTGTGCCTGATACCTGCTTTCTAAAGCAGTCTCCTAATCTGGGCTCCTGCTAGCTGCATCCTCCCTTCCTTTATGTCAACCTTGTTCTGCACTTCTTTCCTGTCTTTGTGCTCAGTTGGCTTCAGAGAAGGAGCAGTATCCCTTACTTGCAGATGTTTCACTTGCCTCAATGAGAAGCCAACAAAGAGATTACAGACACTGTCTCAGCCTCCTTTTTTAAGTCATATATTAAAAATGGTGACCATGAAAAAGAGAAACATTGTACCTATCCCTTCAAGTTTAGAAGAGAAGTGTGTCTTCACTTACTTTGTTATCCAACTGCAAAAACTTTCCCTTACATAACATAGGAGAGAGAAACTAATTTGTAATTGGAATTGTATGTTTCTTATGTAGGTCGGAACAAGACTCAAAAGCCTCTGCAGCTCATAGTTGGCACTCTCACCCCAACCTCTGTGTTCCTTTCTTGGGGCATCCTAGTCAACCCTCACCGTGACTGGACAGCAACAAGTAACTGCGCTAGTGACAGGTAACGTAAGAGAAAACTGTTTTTTATGATGATCATGATTTAACTCAGTGTAGCTATCTGATGTGGCTGAAATAAGTTTGACAGTGGAAATAAATAAGTTGGAAGCAATAGTTCTGAATGGGAAGTTAGTTTTCTCATTTACTTAAATTAGTTCGTCACAAGTCTTTACTCTAGTGCAAATTTAGTCAGGCCTTTATACGCTGAAGTACAAATCTTGCTGTTTCACACTATATCCTGTGTTCTTCTTAAACCAGTGGCCTTGGCTCTACCTTCATTTGTATCTGAATCAATTGAAAGAAACTTTGTCAAATCATAGGAAATATATTGATTTAAAGTTGGCCAAATAGAAGGAAAGTAAGTCTTTTGCTGTGCTGTGGTAGGGGAATGATGCCTTGTTTTAATGGTATTTGACTTTCATTTCCTGTATTTGGTCTTACCACTGCACTACTTTCCTGATATTGATACAGTACAGCTTTCATTAGTTTTCTGCTGTAGTAGAAGAGATCTTTTACTTACAACATTTTGGTTTTGCTGTAATTATTTAATGAGTAGTACAGCAGGTGGGGAGCTCAGTAAGACTCACCAAATATCAGTTTCAAGAGAAGTCATATTGCTGGGTAGCATTTTCACTTAAGTGCACCATTACATTTTAGGCAGCTCTTGGCAGATGAGTAAAATTAATCTGCTGCGATTATTGAAATTGCTAATACAGGTGCTTTCCCTGCTCTGTCATTTCGATGTCCTTTTTGTATTCTTCCTTTTATGACAGAAGAATTTTTTGTCTTCATTTACATCGTGTGAAGCTCCATTCAACTCAGTAATGTTTTGTAAAACTAAGAAGAAACTTTGTGCACCCGTGTTTGGGATGCATCTTCATCTGGTTTGCAGCTACCATCTTTTGTTTTTTTAATGCATTTTTGCATTACTGAGAACACTTTTTCTTTTTTCCCCTCCCTGTTTAATTTTTGTCTAATTTGTAGCTGTCTTCTTTAGACTTGAATCTCTTTGCTTTGGTATTGATAATAAAACTCCCATTGATACCATTAAACTGCATGTTAAACATAGATTATGTTAAAAAAAACAACGCATCCCATGTAGCCAATATAACCTTTTTCTTGCCTCCCCAAAGTTTTGGACTAATCCTTTTCAAGCTTCAAAAATTTCTCAGGAACAAATTTGGATCTTCACCACCAACCAGATTTTAAAACACTATTAAAAAACCCCAACATTAATGTCTATTAGGAAATTGTAATAGAATATTAGGAAATGTAGAAGCTTGTAATTTACTTGGATTGTTTTCAGTAGAACTAAAAGTTTTCTTAGGCTTAAATATTGCACTCTCAACCAAGAAAGAAGCAAATAGTTTTCTACAGTTAGAAATAGAAAAAATGAACTCATCATGGAGCAGCCTGTGTGTTCTACCCACATAATGATTTTAGCACCATTTTTACCATGGAACTTATCTTCTCTATGTGCTGTATCAGCACCAAAGTTATAGCACCCATTGTGTAGTGGGAAAGAAGAACCCTTTAGAAGCAGCCTATATCCTATATTAATCCACATGGAGACTCAAGGCATATGGTACCCACCATAATGCCTTGATCAGCTTTGGGTTTTCTCCTCAGTAACTGAATGTTCATGTTGGACATTCATTGACTCGAAGTTTGAACAAATTCTTTAACATAGTATATAGTGTTTCCACTTAGTGCAGTTCCACTGCTGCTGTCTTGCTATGTTTAGAATATATTCTACATGTTTGCTACTCTAGTGTGAGAGATTTGCTTTTACCATGTCTTTTTATCAGGTAATGTTATGCATCTCTCAAAGTTCTGGTTCTTTACTGAAGTGTTGTTTAGTCCAGTTATCTGATTCCTCTCAGGTGTTTACTTTTAATGTGCCCTCCATTTTAGTGAAGTGTGTCAGGCTGTACTAAGCTGCCGCCTATGTATTTCCCTTTTGCCCCCATAAGAAGACTTGCCTATAAGACTTGTACTGTCCATTTTGTTTGACTATCTCCCTGTGCTTCAACTCTAGAGATAAGCTGACACTCATAAGTAGCCAGTTTAAAACCACTTAAATCAAGTTAAAAATGGTCATATCAAGGTATGGGTATATACCTGTAAGCAGATTTCTATTTTGCAATCAAGTTAATAAAGAAAAAAAAAATCATCTTAAGAGGTGTTCTTATTTTGTTTGCTTTTACTGGACCAAAATGCTTGTGATTGGTATAAATGATGAGAACAGTTTTCCACATGACCATGGTGTGTATTTCTGTAATTCCAAGCAGAGATTGGATTAAAATAAATTTCTAGTCAGTGTATAGAAGAAAAAGTATTAATTTATTATAATACTTTGAATGACAATTGATGATGTATAAGAAAAAAATTAGGAAGTAGCCCATCCTTAGGAAGTTAGCATCCTGTTAAAAGTACAAGACTTAGTCAGATAATGGGTTCATCGATGTTGCAGGGGCAGTTCACTTACTTGATCCTTTTCTGTCTGGCATGTTCTCCTTACTGTGACATGTTGAAATGCACTGTTAATCATTCTCGAGATTGTTGTATAGTGACTTACCTCCGATTTTTGACATTAGCAGTATGTGGCAATTATGACTACTTAACTCAATTCTGTCAGTTAATATACCAAAAAGTTTTAGATTTGTAACTCTGTATGACCTGAAATGGGGTCACTGCTCTCAGCCTCAGATTTTACCATTTCTGAATGGACATTAGGCTTTTGTACAAATGTTGCATAATATGTTAGTTGATTATGTTACTGACTCAGAAGATGAAAACCATATGGAACAGCATGGATCTGTTGGCCCAGATTTTCTCTAGTGCGCGTCTGACCTCAGTCAGATATTGCTTGGATCTGGTTTCGTGAGCAAATGAGTTTTGAATGCCCCCCTCCCTGGAAGTGTTCAAGGCCAGGTTGGATGGGGCTTTGAGCAATCTGGTCTAGTGGAAGGGGTCCCTGCCCTTGGAACTTGGTAATCTTTAAGGTCCCTTCCAACCTAAACCACTCTATGATTCTAATAAGAGGTGCCATGTCCTCAAAGACCATTGGTATCTTTTATTGATTCAGTGAAATGCCTATTGAGGGCACATAGTGTTCTTCTGTACCTATGAAGTACTTTTTAAGAAACTCCAGTGAAGAAAAAGTTCCTGTGCCATTCTTCAACAAACCATTCTTTGGTTGTTTAACTCGCTAGGGATTAATAGAGTGCTACATATTTCCTGCAAGATAACCCTGAACCCAAATTCCTTGTGAAAGTGAAGATAATCACTGCCATTTGTAGGGACCAAAGTTCTTTGCAAGGTCAAATTTTAAAGCCTCCTTGAAGGGGCGATCATCTCTGGTCAGAGCCTCAGTACTGGAATGCAAAACAAAACAAAAAGACCCAAACAAAAAAAGCTCAAGAAACTAGTTTTATGTAAGTGGTGACAACTACATAACACCAGAAAGTTTCCACCAAGAATGTGGCGTTAGCTTTCGCAGCATCTTGTTTTCTAACACCAGTACAAGGTAGCTGACGAGGGAGTATGGCAAAGTCATGATAATTTGCTGCACAGTCATGTTCAATTCCTCTTTTTATATTTCCAAGAGAGTAGAGAGACTTGTTTCCTCTCTGCCTTTCAATGTTCAAACAACTGTTAGTGGAGAGAGCTGTCATAATAAACGTGCCGGGGCTATGTTTTCTGTCCATTTAGGTCTGAAAAAGAGAGTATAGACTTTTTTTGGCCTTTCATTTGGTTAGAACAACTCCACAGATCCTAAAACAGAGCAGGAGGTTGAAAAAGTTTGACCTTCAGTTCTTTAGCGGGGGAGGGTCAGGGGAAGGAAGAAAAAATGTTTTTTCAATGCAAGACAAAAACAGGGTTTGTAAATAAAATATTATATTTTACTGTATCAGGTGGATTGTATAGAAGAATAAACACGCTTTCAGATACATGCGAAGTAGAAATTTAAAACCTGAAGGTATGGGTTTTTTCATGAAATATATCTAAGTTTAGAACTTTGATAAATTCACATTTATATTGTTTCAATTTTTTGCCCATAATTTAAGTGTCTTAACGCCATATTTGCGAGTAGTACCGATTTTGTGTTTTACTTAATTTGTATCTGATGTTTAAAAAAAAAAGTAAGAAAAATAGAGAGGAAAAACAGAGAATAATCTATGCTTACTCTTTATGTTGTACAGCACATAGAAGTATGTTTTTTAAAAACCTAATTTCGCAAAGATATGTGCATGCATCTCCTTGTGCTTATCTACAAATCTGTGTCACTATGCAGCTGTGCACTTAATTGTACTTTGCGTTGCAAATGTCATAGAAAATGTATTTAAAACTTAGCAGAAGTCCTTAAGGAAAACATACTGCAGCAAATGAACTTTTTTGAGTTTCAGATGGTTTTGAGCTACTGCTGTGGGACTATATGTTAAAAGCTTGTTTAAACGTGGAAAGATTTGTTGTCAGCCTCTCATTCTTCAGAACCTCTAACTCTTCATTTCAGTTGTTCTACTAAAAAAATTAAGTGAAAAAAAAAAGAAAGTGAATGTTTAGCAATCATGTAAAAGTGAAAACAAATTAGAGTGTGTTGCATACTTAACGGGTAGCCATCAGTGGTGTGATTCTTTCCATCCTTTTATATATGTCAGTGTCTGTTACTTTAAAGTAGGCTTGGCAATAAAAAGGAAACAATATAATCAACTTCATGTGCTGATTTGTGAAACACTCAGTATCTGAAAAATCATAGTTAATTTCTTTTATTTCTTTCTAGCACTAAATGGATGCTGTGCCCTTAATGAAGTCTAACTATAAGCAAACAAATAAATATATGTGTATGTTAATAGTGTTTTTTAAAAGTCTGATTATATTCACACGCACAAATGTGTAAGTTTTGTAATCTTTTATCTATGGCAACACGAAATCACAAAGCAG